TAACCTTAACTGAATGGGTTGGCTTATGCATCCCAAAAAGTACTGGCATGTATCCAGTGTGTATCCTTGACCGACTTAGTTAGCACAAAAACCAACTCCTCCTCCTGGGGTATTGTTGATGTGGATGCATCGTCAATACTACCTGGGGTGGCTGACCCTGTATCCAACTCTTCACTATGTGCCAAGACTACACTTCGGAAGACACCTTTGAGGGCACCAGAGCTGGGGACACAAAAACTGACAACAAAAAAAAAATGTTTTTTACCCATAACACAAAACTTTTCATAATGGACACCAAGGTCACTGTGGTGCAGCACAAACACAGTTGTGAAGGGGGCAGACTCTCATCGGCAAGAATGATCCAGCAAATTTTTCAAGCCGACATGGAGATGCTGGGCATGGGGGTGACTGGGAGAATTTTTTTTCTTAGTGTACCAGTAGCTAGGGAAGACACCCTGTCTGGTCAAGGATGCAGCTGAAGATGGCTGGATGGGGTTAAGAGACTTACAGCAATGTTGAAGTTAGGGATGTTCACATACCAAGTACCGTACTCGGTACAAGTGCATGTACAGATACTTTTACAGCTCCAAGACTAGATTAGAGAAAAATTAAAAAAAGTTAGGAGATAGTTGTCATTTTTTAAAGGAGCATTCAGAGCTCCTGGTATTTGTACATTCCTGTTTTAATGTACGATTTTTTAAAATATAAATATGGGATGCACCGATACAATTTTTTAAGTACAAGTACTGATACTTGTCCAAGTACTCACAGATACAAGTACTGATACATTTTTGTTTATTTTCATGTGACAGTTTTTCTAAAACAATACAGACTAATGATTTCAGGACAGTGGTGGAGAACCAGAGTTAGGTCCCAGCTGTAACATCTGCAACCCTTGTAGTTCTCAGGAAAATGCCAAGTATCAGCACTAGTATCTGAACATCCCTAGTTAAAGCCTACACGTGGCCCCATATAGACCCACTTCCCCATATATTTGCTATTAAGTGAGCCTCTCATACTCCTTGTAAGTGTTCCATCCCATCCCCAGATGTTTTAGCGCAGGGCATCTTAAAGTGTGGGTCGCGACCCCATATGGGGTTGCGCAAGTGAATACCTGTGCACTTGGTACCTTCCTGACCATGTGCGCGCAGGGAAGGTTTTTTTTTATTTCCCTTTTCAGACGGCAGAGCTTTCTTTAGCCTGGCAGAAGCGGAGCACAGCTGCTGGAGGGGAAAACGTAAGTTTTATCCAGCAGACACCAGGGTGAGTGAGATGGGGGGAGGAGAGATACACACTGAACAACTGGGAGGGCGGGGTAGACAGACGCTGAATTACCTTTACAACTTCTGAAACTGAAGAGACTGTAGCTGAGTTTATTTGCTGTTTGGCTCTAATCACGTTTTCTGCTGCCAACAATTCACTCTAAAGTCACCATTTTAATGCCCTTCAGTTAAAACCAGGATGTAATTAGAGGTGGTCCAACCGCCCCGAGGCCCATAAGATGTTGAAGACCATAGGTCACATTATTAAGTACTGCAAAAAAAATTAATATACATCTTCCCCACACAAACACGATGTACCAGTTATGTAAATCCTATGACCCATTTATCTAAAAGTAGTAATAATAAAAAAAATGAATATTTACTTGCACACCTGATTTAAATATTTGCACTACTGGACATGGAATGTATCTGAATAATGAAACCTGAACTGTGCCAGCTGAACTCGCATACTTTATAGACTGTATAACAATAATAAAAATGCAAAAGCCATTGGCCAGAAATAGATTTAGGGGAAACTGCATCAAGCCTACAAAGTAATAGTTAACAGATTCACTACCAAATGCTCAAGAGAGGAAACACACACATGGATCGCTTGCAATGTGAAGCTGGGGCTTAGCATTGTTCCAAGACTGCAAATGCAGGTCTGCAGCAGTGAAGGAGTTAAATTCACCCTGGGGTCCTGGAAAGTATATGGCAGCTTTATCTCCTGGCACCCAATCCTGTCAGCTGATTGCAGGGCACAACGCTAAGATCTCTGAAGAGCACAATAGTAATTTACCATTTCACAGACAGCAGGAATCAACAAGTAGCTGGGGATGGAGGAAGAGAGACACTGACTGTTGCTGGGAGGAGAATGGAGGAAGAGAGACGGGGAGGGGTGGGGGGTTTGAGAGGAGACAGACATCAACCGACACTGGGTGGGGGGCTGAGAAACACTGACCGACACTGGGAGGAAAGAGGGGAGAGATACCGTTCGATGCTGGGGTCACACAAAAATGTCCTCGGCCGAAAAGGGGTCACGAGTGGAAGAAGTTTAAGAAGGCCTGTTTTAGCGGATGCAGATGGACATTCATCTGTAGTGGGGGAGAGGTGAAAATGGAGGAGCAAGAATGACAAGGAGTGTGGGACCTTTTCTGCTTACTGGTATCATTTATGTGCTGCTCCCACTAAGCTTTGTGGTGATCATGCATCTCCCCAGGCATTTGGTACCCAGATGACTAGTAGATTTAAACACTTCATACACTGCAGGAAGAGGCTGCAAACTTCTATGGGGCATCAGATGTGAGTAGAAAGGTGCAGACTTCTGAGCTATGAAGAGCAGACCTGGGAATACCAGTGCCTTCCTGTGTAATAGGGTGGCTGCTCTTTACACTCTTCTGCAAACTACCCCTGGACAAGATCCTACCTCTCTGATGTTGTGTCTCTCCCTCAATTACATCCTCTACAATCTCTGGCACTCAAAGTATGGTCTGCCACCTCATCATCCCAACCCTCATCAATGAGCCAACCTGACAGTAAGCTGCAGGATCATCATTGACAATTGCTGTTCCCTGCCTGTTGTTCCCTACCTCTATGCTCTGGGCTCTTTTTTCTTAACATCTAAAAATGAATTCCTGCACAGCCTCTTGCAGCACATGACTGAAGCCGTGCTGAAATAATTCAGCTGACTGCTCAATGATAGATTTTGAGACAACAGCAGAGTTAGCAGTAAAAAAAAAGTAAAAAGGAGGGCACATTTGCACATTCCTGCTGACTCAGCACCTGGGAAGAGGATGATAAATGTTTGGCAATCCACTCCACTACGTGCTCTAGATGTATAGCATGCTCACTGGCAGAAAAGAAAGTTATCTCAAAAGGTACAGCCAGACCATCACTTACTTTGCAGATTCAGAACCTCCCCCCCTTTACCAGCTGCATATGAAGAACCTCTTTCTCATCTTGAAAACAAGTGATAGCCTTATTTTATTACAAACTATGGCAATAGGGCGATTGAGGGTGTGGTGCTTTGGCATGCTTCACAAGTCTCATTACAGTCTTCACATAGTATGCAGTAATGTGCTGCTAACAGGATAGCTTTGGCTGTGTCCACAATAAGTTTACACTGTTGACCCTATCAACATTTTATAGAAATATACCTACCTCCAAAAAAAAAAAAAACTATAAGGCCTCTTTCACACAAAGCTTATGTCAAGCTGCAGATTTTGCAGCAAATATAGGCAGTTCCAGACAGCTGTGACCACTTAGCTTGTACAAAGCAATGGCAGGCTGACAGTGGCCGCAGCTGTTGACCCCTGTTCAGAAGTAATAGCATATAGAATGATTACCTGCAGTTAGGGACAGATGATGGCCCCTTGACGCAAGCCATTTGGGGCACTATACCTAGTATATACAGATCTAAAAGCATAGCTGTGTCCTCCAATGAACAAAAAAAAAAGTTTCAGCTCAACTTTCACTTTAAAATGATGAACTATCCCCTGATCATAAATATTAATGATCACAGATTAATAAAAGAAATCTCAACCTGTAGAGTACATGACAGTTTAGTATTGTTCACACATACAGCAAGCTCAATCAGTGTTTATTGCCAATGTAAGACATCGTCAAGAAACGCTAACCATTAGGTCAGTTAGGTTTAAAGTTTATAGTTTGTTTTTGTATTTTTTTCTTTTTTAAAAAGGGATGTAATTTTTTATATCCATACGTTACATATTTCTAAAGTATTTTAGGCAAAGTTAAAGACCCCATAGGCTAGTGTTTTTTTCGATGACTTCATTAAGTGGGGTGAAGGTTGTAGGTTTGTGTGAGACATTTTGATCTACTAAATTTCAGGGGGAAAAAAGGGGCGCAGGATGTACAATATTCTAGGTGCTGAACATCCTGGAAGTCCATTTACATATGGAGCGAGTTCATTAGGATTTTTTTAACCCTAGTTAGCTAGAATAATTAAAACATCAGACATGTTATGAGAAAATGCAAAACCATTGAAGTCTAGAATGCACAAGTTTAATGACCATATACCATAGCAATAGCCCATGACCATTCAGGTTATCGAATTATATATATTTGGACTGAATTAACAGGAGAAAATGATAGATTTTATTTTTTTTTGTGAATTTTTTTTATAGGACGGGAATTCACCTTTTTATGTGGGGAGATTTCCTGTTGTGCTTCTAGGACAGCAAGCTATTCTAAGCAAATTCCAAGAGAAATTAACATACAATGCAGAATCCAAGCCCTGGGATCTTTAACTCATTGAGATCGGACAGTGCAGTACAGAGTGTTAATCATGATAATCACCAACTCCACATCCCCCTCTGTAATATTGCAGAGGAGGAAGATGGGTAGTATTTTTAAGCAATTAAAACTAAAAAATATAAGCAGCAATGTTCAAATATTTGTTTAAATTATGATATGCAAAAAGGAACATGTAACAAATATAAAGTAGGTGTTATTCTAATTTGGTTGTGAAAGAGGAAATGCACTTCATGTAAAGGCAATGTAATGAATTTAGACTGTTAAAGGACAATAACTTAAAGATAATATGATAAACAAAAATATTCAAGTATCTTTATTTACTTTTCATTTACTGAAACAATGCCACATTATGTAAAAATATAAACACATGAGGTCTCCCCCCCCCCCCCCCCAAATTTCATACAAATCAGTATTATAGAAATCAAGTACATATGGATACACTTCTTAGTCCAACACATTATTTTAATCCTCTAAAACATAGTTTGGATTAACAACTAATATACGATTCTCTTCTGAAGCCTCCTCATTGCCATCTATGGACTTTAAATCAGTCTTGCACAATTCTATGAGTATATGATCCTGAAAAGGAAAATATTTTTTACTGTTAGCAGCAATATTGCAAGAAATACCTTAAACACAGACAGCTAAATCTAAAGAGGTTTAGAGCGCTTTTTTTAGAGTGCATCTCAAAGCAACAAAAAAAAACACAGTACCATCTCTGCAATGTATGCTGATTTAGCTCTTGAGCTGTTGTAGGGCGACACCACATAGCATTTTTGTGGACTGTCAGCCCCATCCAGTGTTTTACTAAATAATTCAACCAACCACTCTCTCTTATATTGGACTACAGAATCACTATGTTGTATAGATCCAAGAACTAAGCATGCTCCTTAATATGGTATGGGACTACAGAATCAGTATGTTGTATAAATCCAAGAACTAACCGTGCTCCTTAATATTGGACTACAAAATCATAATGTTGTAAAGATCAAAGAACGAACCGTGCTCCTTAAGATAACACGAGGATACAGGACAGCTCTGAATTTCTGACAAGAGCACTGCTTTTTTCATTTATTAAACTGATAAAATGCTTCTAATGGAACATTTAACATGCCAAAAGGGATTAAATGTGACATTAAGTTTAACATACACTAACTATTCCACTGACAAAGGGCACATAAATGTAAGACATGGTACTAATATGGCCCATCTGTGTGATAGTCTCGCCTTGAAGATCAATAAGAAACTGGAATTGCAATTACTAGACATGTAAGCCAGCAAAAAATTAGTTTAATTTCATTCCGGATCCGAACACAGTTTTGTTTCGTTATTCGGATCTTTTGAAATTTCATTTTAGTTTTAGACTGGGTTTTCTGATTGGCCATTGTCACATGTCCGATTTAGTTTAATTTTAAACTAAGTTCGGATTATCCAAAATTTTGTTAAAACATTTGTATTCGTTTGCATTCAGCCTCAGTCAGGGGCGGAACTACCGCCATAGCGACCCATGCGGGCGTTATGGGGCCCGCGCCAGAAGGGGGCCCGGCCAAGAGCAGGAGGGAGGTTTAGGGGTCCTTATTTTCCGTGCGGCCGCAAGTCAAAAACTTCACCGTCGCACGGAACCTAAGGACACTAAATCTGCGATCCTCTCCCCTGCCAGTCACAGTGCAGAGCGGGGGCGGGCGAAGTTATCTCCTGCCTGTGTCAGGCTGGAGGAGATGGCGAAGCAGCTGAGTGGAAGTGTGTGTGATCTTCACTGCTGCTAGGACTGCTAACTGGTAAGGGGGGACAGGGACTGAAGACTTTGTTCTCCTTACATGAGCTGCAGGAGCCATTAACACTGGCCGCGGCTCATTCATATGCTAATTACGGGATTTGCATATTAATGGGCCTTTGTATTCATATGCAAATCCCGCCATGTATCATTAATATGCAAATTGCCCTTCCCACTCCCCTGAATGAGGGGGGTGGGACAGGGGAGAGTCAGGTCTAAAGTTGCAGAGTAGTGATAAGCTTGGGAGTGTTCGCAAGCGCCTCGTGCCGAGCCATACAGATTCTTGCACCAGGAATGTCAGGTGTCCCACTTAGATGTGGCTGCTGTACTCACTGAAGTTATCCTCCCTGGCGGTCTGATTATTTCAGGTATTTTTTTTCTTCCTTTTTTTAATTTTTAAATTTCCCACCAGTTCCGCCCAATGCGACGCAGACACTCGCAGGGGACGGAACCCAGAAGACGGATGCCGGCATGATGTATTGGCTGGAGGACACAGCGGGGATCGTGGACAAGGTAAGTAATCGCGCTGTGTAATCCCGAGTGTGGCACGGGGTTACTGCTTTTGGTAATGAAAATTAACCCGGAGCCACACTCAGGATTACCACCAGGGAGGTTAATGACCAGGTGATAGCGGCCATATCTGTAAGCGACAGTCCACACGAAATGTATGTGATATGATTAAATGCAGTTTTGAATAGATCACTGTCTCTGGATGTACGTATATTGCATTCAGGGACAGTGATCTATTGTAAACTGCATTTAATCATATATAATAATAAATGCTGTAGTTCAGGCACCAGAGGGGGGTGCGGGTTGGGGGGGCCCTCTACAAATTTTTGCTATGGGGCCCTGTGATTTCTAGTTACGCCCCTGGCCTCAGTCATGAAATTTCATCCAAGCTTGCATTCAGAGCGAAACAAAATTACACATCTAGCAATTATAGGCAGACTACACATGCCTAACAGACCTTTCAATATGTGCACTGTGGCAGAAAGAGGTTTTTTTACTGCATAAATCAATAGACATAAGAAACCTTGCTGTATACACAGTTCTACTGCCCCTTGAGTGTTAGATGTTCCTTCTCACCTTGGTGTATTCCTACTCCTGCCTTTTTCATCAAAATGTATCCAGGCTAAGATATCTAAAGTTAAAATGTATACACTGTGCTCAGGTCAGACATCAGATAAGCTTTGTATTAATGCTCTCTGCTTGAGCGGTCATATTTCTCCAGATATTGCAGAATAGCCTCTAGACAAGGTGCTTTAGCACCCAAGGGGAGGGTGCAAAAATGCTCCACCCATAAGCCTCTTCACAGCAGCATGATTGAGTGTTTGACCCAGTTCTTTAAGCCAGTAATGCTGCAGGTCAGGTAAAAAGTACAACAGAAAGCATCATTACATTATAACACAATAGGTTCAATTCAGAAAGCAAAAAACACCCAGGGTAAGGATCCTTATTTTAAAAGGGAATTTACTGTTCTATTAATAATATAGGTAATGCCTTCAGCATAGCGTTTATAATGTTTTTCTGTTGTTAATTTGGTCCATAATAAGCACCAGCTAATGGCCAAATAACACTTCTCCCACAGTTTAGGAGACTAGCAATTTTTGAACCTGCAATTCCTCACACTTTTTATTGGTTTTTTTACAGGAAAAGAAAACAAGAGCCTTCTGGGAAGCAAAGAACTGAGGACTGCAGCATGAAGAAAACATTCATCTCCCCTGCATGGCAGCATTGCTAGTGAGCACATTGATTTATACACCGTAACTTCCACAACCATTAGCAGCCAACAGACACTGCTATTTGTTATATTTATGCATCGATTGTGTTCTTTATTTTCTCCCCAGTTTCAATAAAGTTTCAAGCTTTCTACACAGTCTGACTTTTTGGAAGGGTTTTGCTGCATGTTAGGCTGCACACAAGCCACAGGGTAATCAGTAATGAAAACAGAGGATAGGAAAAATCACAGTCCAATGCCTTGGGTAAAGCCTCACACTCTTGGAAATAGAACAAACAGCCAAATGGGCAAAAATAAACTTCCACAAAGAAAAATAGCAGCCATAAAAATGTATTAACTATTTAAACCTTGTTTAACTTAAATTCTCTTATACAATCCGTATATTTACTAAAAAGCTATTCACTGACAAAATTTGTAGTTAAAGCAGTTGTTTCAGTTTTAATGTGTGCGATCCCTGAAAAGCATTTTAAATAACTTTTCCAACAGCATTTTTACCAGGGTCCCAATGTCCTTGTGAAGCAACAAGTAGTACAGTAAAAATCGCCCAAATATGACCCTGGCGTTAAGGGGCATACAGCCTCTGCAATCTCAAAAATATTCTTGGAGCTGAAAAGCCTCTGAAGACTTGTAACGGCATCAAAGCTCACTTAATGCAGTCAACAGACCTTCATAGACCATCTGACAGAAGACTTCAACACAGCCATTGACACTGTTTCCATGCCACAGAAAGATGCATGAACAGGAGCGTCCAGATGCAGAAACATGCAGTGGCAGCATGCAGTGGACCTGACCAAGCATCAAAATACTTATCCCTAACAAACTCAACACTCAAATTAGCTACTGGTCAGGAGGGGGGGAGGTACACACTGCTGTGGGTGCTGTTGGGAAAGGGTGCATGGCTCAGCGTAAACTGGTAAAAGGTGATGGACTAATTGATGAGCTGTATTTGAGGCATGGCTGTGGTAAGCAGAGTCCGAACATCCTTATTTCTGGTTGTGCTTTCTTCACTGTGTCCAAGGCAGACCTCTACCCCGTCGGCAAACTGACCTGCCACTTTTTCCGATCTACAATATTAACTGCCCAGAATGCATGGAAATTACAGTTTGCATTATACAAACAACATTTTGTGCTGAAACAGTATCTTTGTATAGACTTTTTATGAAGAATCTCCATTCGGGTGACTGTTTTCCCATTTTCGTTTCTCCTGCACACTGCAAGTCTATTCCTCGACATGTTACTTGGAGGGAATCACTGCGTCTGCTTTCTTGTCATCGATCAGCAGGGAGTTAGAAAGCAGCTGCAGCTTGCACTCTCCTCCATACTATTGCTATTTTTATCTGTTTAGGGGTTATTCTGCAAAACCTGGGGCAATATTCTGCATTACCTTCATAAGCTTATTTAGAGCAGATATGTTTATTTTAAAAAATTAGGACTATTTATACCATACTGGCAATTTTATTTTATGCTTGAATTTAAGTCAGCTTGTGAGGATACATTTTGTATATTGCTCAAATCTAATAACTGGCTCTCACAGAAATGTGTTAACCTTTTCAGCAAGCCTAGAGACCATTGGTCTTTATTGCAGCAGAGAAATTTGAGATCTGGCCCACCAAATCCTGCATTTTATAAGTGGCCTCACTGGAAGGAGGTGAGGCTAGACAGCAGACCAGAGACTAAATTATCTGTTGAAGTTAAGATTAAATATAGCAGCCCAGATTTCATGGCTGCCACAGTGCTCACTCACGTCTACAATGGCACATAGTCACTTTTTTGTGTTTGATAATTAGTGGGCAGTTTACCACATGTTTTATGACACATCCAAACACATCTCTGTATAGAATCGGTAAGAAGGCTGTGGGAGTGCCTTTCCAGAAGTCTCCACTCTTTCAGCTTTACCAATCACATAAAAATTTGCAATTCCTAATTGAATTGTTGAAAACTTCTTCGTACTAGCATTTATTTTTATACATCAGACTGTGTGTGGGGGGCATTAAAGATGGATGTTCCAGCACCACCAAATTACAAGCAAAATGTAGTGGAACAGATGCACTACATGAATTAAACTCGACATACAGTAGGTGAACACAACTCCACTTTTAAGGGGGAAGAAAAAAAAAACACCATTTCTCAGTTGGTTTATAAATGTCACAGGACAAGTATCAGAACCAAGAATATGCTGTTTAGCAGATTTGACAAAGGTAACGTTTCTGTAGCGTTAGACTTCATAATATAGCCGCCTATCTTTTTTAGGAAGTGTGCCTGCTGCAATACCTATAATAAAAATTCGGAGCCGAGGCACACAGTGGGAAGGGGGTAAAATATTACAAATCAGCACAGTTTTCCACCAAGCACTAGAGATGGGAGCAGATTGAACAGAAACTTGAGGAGGGTTGGAGTTCTGCTTTAAACTTGCCCTCTACAACAAGATATTTAATAATTTAAACATTTCATACTTACATAATGAACTAATCGGTGGATTACTTTTTCTATCAAATTTTTCCTAAAAATCAGTTCAGATTCAGTCTCAATGTCACTTTCAATTTCTTTAAGATACCAGTTCACCAGGTCACTCTTAGTTAACTGACAGTCTTCAGCTAAAAAAAAAAAAAAAAAGAAGAAGAAGTATACAAAATATGTTGAAGCTAGGAACAACAGGATTATGAAAAAATGTCCATTAGCGATTAGTAAATCTTATAAAATTTAATCTAGTGCAAGAAAATAGGTATTGAAGGATTCAAAAGAGGCCATCACTTTACAGGTTTTTTTCCCAGGAAAATAGACACGTGATAACCCACGATGGGTGTCTCATGGAAGATTTACTGTTAAAGTAGATAAAGGGGTGGGGATTGGGCTATTCACTGAACAGCACTGGCAATATTCATTTTCCTGTTCATGGTTATTTGTTATCAGATGCTAGATATTCTATTTGTGAAGTCAGTAACAGATAATTGTTCTTCAATTTTTGCAGTATATAGTACTTAAGACTAGAGGTCAGTAACTCTTGAACTGGCTAAAAATGTTAAAAGGTTTTCTTATTTAGGAGGTAACATTTTGAAAATAATGCTTAATGTAGGAAGGAGTCAGAGGGATAAATATGCAAACCTTACATTCTTCCATCTTCTGCATGTAGAAGACAAGTAAATTGGAAATCTGCTTATATTCTGAAAAAGTCATTTTTAATGAAGCACTTGAAGCAGGTTGTTCCTTTGTTTCTTCATCTTGGTTTGTTTCCATAGCTTCATTACTTTTGATATCTACATTTTCATTTACAGCTGAAATAGAAAATGTTAAGATGAAAATCAACTTTGAGAAATACTAAACTAGACAAGGACAGGTCCTAACTTTCCTCGCACTCTTTAAAACATATTTGAAATCCCTTACAAACATGCATATGTGATTTTAAGGTGCATTTTACGTATTTAACTCAATCTGGCAGTCAATTATTGCATTTAGAAGTTAATTCGGTATGTGCATTTTATTTTTATACCAACAAGATGAACACAAAATTGTAGGGCTGGTACTGATTAAAATTTTCGTGTTCGATTAATCAAATTTTTTTTAAAATCAATTAATTTTGATTAATTATAACGCACATACAGATCCAACTACATCGGCCTATACACATACAGCACAGCAATGAAGTAATAAAATGAACTAGCATCACACTAATCCAGCACGTTATTAATCTCACGTGCCCCACTTAATATGGCCGCCGCTTGAGTGGGGCAACTCAGAATAATAACGTGCTGGATTAGTGTGATCTTAGTTCATTTTATTACTTCATTGCTGTGCTGTATGTGTATAGGCCAATGCCTTGGCTGGCGCTCATGCAGTAAGTTTCTTGGGCAAACTCAGCGGCCCAAGAGGCTCCGTCTGCTTACGAATGGAAGGGGGAGGAGTCCGGTGACGTCACGGACATTGTCACCAGACTCCTCCCCCTTCCCTTCGTTAGCCGCCACGGACATCGACGTCACCGGACTCTTCCCCCTTCCCTTTGTTAGCCGACGGAGCCACTTGGGGAAGGGGGGAGGAGTCTGGTGACGTCACCGAATCTATGAGATGTGGATCTGACTATGAACAGTTAATTGCTACTGGTGGGAGGCGGAGACTTGTGGAGATTGTAGTACAGAGCAGATATGGATACATTGGTGAAAGGACATTGAGAACTACATCACCCAGGGTGCTGTGCGAGAGGAAGCCGGGGGGACTATGGGTTGCAGGGACTGAGCACACTCAGTCTGGGACCGGGACCTGAAGTGTCCAGATCTATGTGAGACAAGGTGAATTGAGACTGCCTGTAATAGAGCTGTGTGGTTGCCTCTGACAAGACAGGGACACACAGGCTCTGTACCGCAGTGTATAAAGACTATTGTCTGGATGCCAGCAGCTGAAGACAGTAATTGAGTGCCTACACTGAGGCCTAGTGACGCGTCATCGGCGGAAGTATTGCGGCCTGGTCGGGCGGCCGATTCAGCCACTGGAGTGACGCAGTCAGCCCAGCTGTGTGAGCGGAAGTGAATGGAGCCAGCGGTGAAAGTGACAGAGACCCTAGATGAGCGGTGATGTTTTGCAAGAGGCCATAGATGACTTCTCCTTCCTCCTGAATGGCGTTCTGATGAAAGAGGGACTTCCATCTGCTATTGAAAGACTTCATCTTTTCGGACAACCCTGGGAGCGGTGAGAGGCCTCTGGGGCCGAACTGACAATGTACTTTTACACATCTGCTACACAGTATGGGCCCCAACGTTGGCTAGCCTAGGACATTACTACTGGCCAGTAGTCTAGAGGGGTATGATACTTCCAAAGGGAGATATTGTTGTGGGATTTCTCTACTTTGATATTTACTTCTGAGACAGTCTGGCATCACAGGACTACGTATAGGCAATAGATAGCCACAGTCCCTGGATGTCAGAGTGCATTGATTACCTCATATTGTATAGTGTTTTATTGTTACATTATTAAGAGACTATTTTGTGTTATTCAGCCATTAAATCCTTTACAAAAACTCTACAAAAGGTGTGTTGGTGAGCTGTGGATCCACCAATTGGGTGGTGCATTGGTGCAGGGGGACAGAAAGACCCGTTACTACCAGCGGCTCCTACGGGTGTAGCGCTACATGTGTATGCCAGAATGTTTTTACATTTCATTTTTTCAAAAACTTTTTTATAACGTCACTTTTATTGTCATCTTACAGAAGGTTCAGACCCCCTAAGTGATAGTATAATTATTGGTGACATGTGACATTTGCAGCCCAGCAGACTATGCTTGATCAGCTTCTTCTACAACCCATGTGGCCAGGAGATGACAGCTTAGAAATTGGAAGTGACTAAATCCTTGTTACTTCTGGGTTTATTCACCAGGTAGATCAGTGATGTTCGCTTGTCTCCCTCCCCTTTCATCAACACTCACCATGCAAATCCTGGGCCCGCAGGAGGGGGCAGTAAAGCCTCCACTACATGGGGGGGCAGGGGGGGGGCACACTGGGCAGCTTGTGAAAGTAATTGGGTGGCTTTATAGGCAAGGAGTGGATTTGATTTGTATTTCTCTTCTATTCATTTACTTTCCATGTTTTCCATTTTGTTAATTGATTAAAAAAAAACAAACAAACTATTAAACACTTATTTCTGAAAGCATTCTCACACCTGCCTAAAACTTTTGCCCAGTACTGTACACATACACACGTACATGCACACTTATACAAAATATATTTTTTAACTGTGGCCATAACACAATATTTAAAACTTAATATTCTTTTACAATAAAAACCTTTATAAAATTGTAAAAGCTTTTGATTTTCAGTTGTCTTTTTTTGAAAGTATTACCTTCCATGGTCTTTTCATCTTCAGCTTGATCAAAGCTGACATCGGGTGTATCCACACGAATAATTGATTTGTTTATCAGCCTGAAAGCTTCCTTTACATGTTTTGGTTGAACCTGAAAATTAAAAAAAAAAACTGAAAAACGAATTTTCCACAGTAAATCCTACAATTGTATTGTATTCTCATAGTGTTCGTTAGTGAGATAGCCGCCATTTTTATAGTAATATTAAGCATAAGATTTGAAACTAAAATTAGTAAGATAAGGATTGAAAAGTGTAGAATTTCCCCATAGTACCATGAAATGTATACAAGGGTCCTACTTGCAACATTATGGTATGTACAGTTTTATATCTGTACTGTAACATTTTCTTTTCTACTAGACATGAGAATCTACACTGAATTAATTTGTAAATCCATGAAACCCGAACTTGGCATTGAACCTCATGGGGGGGG